AAGACCTTTACAGAATAGGATTTAAATATTAAAACTGGCCTGGTCCTTAAACTGACATTAATTGCCACATATTGGATTGGGTCTGCTTCTCTGTTTTTTTTTTTTTTATACAACCTTCTCGACTGAGAGATTAAAGGAGAGGAGGGTTAGAGGCCGAGCGAGTGCATCATTTGTCAGCTGTTGCTCTGCGGCGTGTTTTATATTTACTGCTCTCTGAGCAAGTCTGTGTGTGTGTGAGGTCGAGAGCAGTGGGAAAATAAAAGGAACTTTTCATGTGTTGATTATTTTTTCATAATACAACTAGCCTGAAATAAACAATCAGTAAATAATAAAACTGTCAGYTTTGTAAAGGAGTCAGAACCTTTAACGTAGACTATACATTTAAAGGTTTTAATTAAAAGCTGCTGTAGCAGAAAACAAAAGAAAGAAACTCAGGGAGGCACTGAGAATCAGCAAAGTTCAAGATGATTTCAAGACTGCATCTCTATTAGCACAGAGCTGACACAGTAACACACAGTCACCACAGATTAGGTTGAAAATGGTCCCAACTTCTTGGCAAAAAAGTCCAGATTTTCATTTCTCCTCTGTCCTCAGTTTTCTGTGTTCTGTTTGCTCTGTCTGCTCCAAACACGTTTCTAAACAGAATATCTCCTCCACTGAACACAAGTTTTGCTGAACACTATCCCTGCATTTAAAGAGCTCACGTTAGACCTATTGTTGGCATCAATACACTAAAACCAACAGAAACTGTCCATAGTACATCATATTTAATGCCCCAATGAAACTGTTTGAAGAAGCTGGTAACAATTCAACAGCCTGAGTGTATATTAATATGATCACTCCACTGACAAATGTAGGGCGTCGGCCTGTGTCGCCCTATAACTGTGAATGAGTAAAACAAAACAAAAAAAAAAACAGAATGAACCACTTAAAGCTGTTTTAAATTCCATTTAAAATTGTCAAAGTAGCTGAAAAATGGAACAAAACCATGTGGCAAGCTAAGTAAATAAACTATTTACATTTTATATTAAGGGAAACTCCTTTGTGGGGCAAACAAATTTTCTTTAAGGTAGGGAAGCACCGTTTTCAGCTGTGGCTCCTTCTTTACCACCAGCGCTCTCGTTATTGCAAACGATTCATCGGCCCACGTCTCTTGCATCACTCATTACCCAGACACTGAGATATTTGACCTGGTCCGCTTGAGCCACAGACTCACCTCTAACCCAGAGGAAACTTTTCATCCTTTTCCTGTTGAGGATTATGGCTTCAGATTTAGAAGCTGACTCACATACTTGCCCACGTTGCGTACGATTAACCTCTCCAGCACGCACGCCGACTCTCGTGACTGTAACAGCTAAAAAGTGCCACAAAAAGCAAAAAAATAAAATAYTGCAACTCTGTTTCTGAGTTGAACTCCATTGTCACCACGGCTACGCTTTCCGATCCCATTCCTGAACCCTCCAAACTGAATCAGTGATAAAGAGGGCGTCCTGTGGCTCAACCTGCACCTGGAAATAAGCCTGACTTTCTGCAGGAAATGCTGACGCTGCTCCGCTTCGCTAACACGTTTGACAGTGACACACACACACACACACACACACACACACACACACACACACACACACACACACAACATAAACCTCAAGCTGATTTATAAATATTTTAATGCAATTTT